AATGCTTTAGAATATTGTGCAATTTTTGGAATAAGATAAAATAGTTCACTATAAGTAAAATCAGAGGTTATTTGACGAGCTACACTAAAAAAATGTTCAGCTGCTTCAGATCCATGTATCTATGGAAGTAAAGGAACTGATGAATAATATTCATAGTATGTCTTTACCAGAAGAACTATTGATTCTACTAATAATATAAGAATAGAGTAACTTTGATTGGCTAAAAAGTTTTTTTTCAAACTGATAAAATTGGAATAGATTTCTGATAAATTCAATATATGCTGACGCTAAAATCAAAGGAAAAAAAATAATATTATAGCCATTTTAATACGTTCTAATAGATTAATTTTTTGATTAAAGTAACAATCAACCAGTTCTTCTTAATAATTAATATATAAAAATTCTAATTAGATAATTTATTTTATTTATAGCTGTAATTTCATAAAACTTATCAAATATGAATAGTAAAACAAAAAATTCAGAATTTTTCAAATGTTACAAATAAACAGTTTTTAAATTGGATGAACAAAAAGCTTTATATGTGGTACTATGATCAAGTTTTACAACATCTTGTTTATACATTATAAATCTAAACATTGAGAGATATGTAAAAAATGATCAAAACGTGCTATTGATTGTTCAAGTGATAAAACTCATGTACCAGACATAATTACATTTTAACAAGTTTTTTTAGTGTATTTTAGGTCCTAGACTTTTAAAATAGAGTCACTAATGGCAAAATTGGATAACTAAATATTACATCAAATCTCATATCAATTAGTTATAACCTTTGATCTATCACCATACTTTGAATTATTGTTTGGGCCTGAAATTCAACTAATGCATCATCAGAACTGATACTTAAAATATGTAAATTTAATCAGGATGCAATATTCATTAAGAGTTCTTGATGAAGATTAATGATTTCAGATGCTTTATCAGAACTATTATTAGGAATTAATGCAATTATCACTGGTGGAAATTTAGGTAGCAGAACCTGTATTTTTAATATAATTAATTAACATTAATAAATATTAAATAATATACAATATGATCTAATTAAATAAAATTAATTTACCTGCAAAATATATGCCTGAACACTACTTGCAAGTGCTTCTTTACCTTTTATTTTGTTAATTATTTGAGGAATTTGATCATAATCACTAACTTTTATTTCATTATTATTAAGTATTGATCTAATTATGCAGCCAAGTTGTGGGAAATAACAAAGTCCAGGTTTTAACTTTGTATTATCAGTCATAACAGTGATAGGACTTTCATAATGCAAAGTATCTATTAATCATTTAAACCTTGCAACATTTTTGTAACAAAGATTTGAATCAGTTAAATAATAATAAAATTATTAGTAAAATTAAAATAATTGTGATATTAAAAAAAATTATACAATATTTAATACTTTGAATAGTTCGCCTTTCTAAGTTTTGCCAAAATAAATTTAAAGCCTGAATGTTATAACTACCTAAGATCACGAGAAATTGGTAAATTTTTCTGAATATTTAAGATTTTGTAAACCTAATCCTTTTTCTTTTCGCAAATATACTTGAACCATTATATGACATAGTCTGGTAAATACAGGTTTATCATTAAAAGTATCTTTTATTACCTTATTGGCTAAAATAAGCCAAATATTTGAATTATTAGACGTACCTCCTTTAATGATATTTCAAATTTATAATAAGTCAGCATTTTGTAAATATTTTTTCATTGGATCATTTTCTAATCAGAATAAAGGTATATGTTTCATATTCTCAGGTTTAGGTATTTTTATAGTAATTTAATTTGCTAATCGAGTATCTAAGCATAATACTAAGTATGCAATACAACAGATTTTATTTTAACAATTTTAATCAACAAATCTGATATATTCTTTAGCACGCACAGAATTACCTATAATTACAAAATATGAATAAATTAAATATAAATAATTAATTAATATAAATTAACAAAAAAATTAAGATATTTTACTTTCATGATCAATAAACCATGTACTCTCAGCATATATTTGTTGATTAAGGATTCTTTTTTCTCTTAGATTAAATTTTTTTCTAGAAAACTCTTTTTTGAATTTATTTCTCTATAATTCTTTGCAATTACTTCTACATGACGAGAACCACCAAATTTTATAGGAGTTTGATTAATATATATTAAATCCTAGCAGAACAAAGACTACTACAAACACTTCTTTTTTTACTTGAAGAAGCATTAATATTTTCATTATAATCAATATCAATAATAACATCTGAAGTTTTATCATCTTCACATTCATCAACACCAATAATGTCATCATCATCCATTGCATCCTTAACTTTACTATTCCAATCTTTCTATTATTCATCAGAATCATTGTTACTTTTATGTTTTTTAGAAGTATTAAAATAATGATATAATATTTTTTGGCCTTCATCCCATTTACATCCTTTACTTTTAGCATGTCAATTAATATAATCTTCGTCTCATTTCATTGAGAGCTTAATTGTTACATCACATACACAAATAACTTTTTTTGCACGTATAACTTTAACAACATATGGATGTCACTTTAAACGTTCTTTTGAGTACTTCTAACCTGTCATAATTTGTAAAATAAGATGTGCTTAATATAGATATAAAAGTTTATGTATAATAAAAATATGCTTGAGAAAAAGAGAACAATCACAAATTATAAGCTAAAAAGAAACATGTAATAAAAAACGCGTCTAAATAAAAGAAAATGTATTTAACTGCTAACATGTTTATATAAACTGGAATGTATAGAAAGCTAACATTAGAAAATATCAGGAGAACATAAGAACATTAAAAACTAGAAGTAAATAAATTCAACATTTTAAATATAACAAATAATATAATTAGCAAAAAATTTAACATCTTATAATATATTACATCTTATCAAAAAAAAAATATCAGTACTACGCATTTCTAAACTCTTAGTCTAAATTTGAAATTAATTTACGTAAATATGAATTATGAGTAATACAAAATTAACGTGATACTACTCATACTCTAATTGTAAGATTAAAAAAATTCTCTATAAACTTTACGCAAATTAATATCTAAGTTATATCATAGATATTCAGGATTCTAACAAAATAATATAATATTAAATTTGTTAATTTTATATATATTATAAAATAGAATATATATTCTTAATTATAAGAAATCTTTTACAAATTCAAAATTTAATAAATTTCGTGTAATTTTTATGATTTCTATATATATTAATTACATATAAAATTTATATTTAAAATTTTTAATATTTTAGAAAATGATTACAAATTAGATATGAGAATTTATTTTCTTATTTATACCAATTGTAAATATTGAAATGAAATATCTAAAATTACATAATTGCTGTTATAATATTATTAAAAATATGAAAGTTTGCTAGGAAAATCAGGCACTAAGAATTGTTTTGACTAAAAGTAATCTTATTATTATAAAAACATCAAAAACTAAATGTAATAAAAATCATAATTTATCAGAACTTGATTTTCCTAGCAAATCTTTCCATATAGTGCATGGCTTTAGTACTGAAATTTACGAATCATTACACAAACCATGTGTTAAAATTCCGTATAAAAGGTAGTATATATATTTTTTTATAAAATTGATTGTATATATATTTATTTTCTTATTTTGTAATAATGTAGGTGATAAAGTTGCTTTCCTATTTCAAGATAAGGATATATTTTCAGCATATGTACAGTAAATTTTTATTTTGATCATCTGAACGTAAATGTCACGTGACTGTTTTTTTTCATAGTGCGTACACATAGTGTCCTTCGCTTCGCTCCGAACAATAATTAAAAAAGAACAAATAAATATTATTCTATCGGACCAGTGATTTTTGTGTAAATTGAAAGGGACTGATAAATCTCCGACTTAGCTTTTCATAAGTTTACCTTACCTCTCTTTACAGCATGGCTAGACCTCGAAAACGACACAAGATACGCAATCCAACACTTAAAGTTTCTCGCAAAAATGCGAATAAACATTTTAAAAAAATTTCAATAAAAGTTATTTTTGTTTCAATACATTTATTTGTAATTTTAAATTAATATAAACATAATTGAAATGATTAAATTTTTCTATTACAGGGAAATTCCGTTATCGCAGCTAACTGGGATAAAAAAGCTACTTTACGTCAAAAGTATATAATTTCAAATGATTTTATTCATTTTAAATCTATGATCACTCCATTAATTTTAATGATCTCTCTTCTCACTTGTGTTCGCAAAGTTATCAACGTATGGGTCTTATGACTTCGCTAAATGGTATTGCAGGTGGTACTGAAAAATTATATCCCGATGAAGCTCAAGAATTAGATATGGAAGAAATAAAAAAAACTCTAGGCCCTGAAGAAGGTATCATAGAACGGGATGAAAAAGGAAACGTTATAAACGTTATTATTGGACGGTCTCGAGAAGAAGAGGAAGAGGAAGTATTTAATACTGAAATTGATCCCGTTCCCGCGAAAACAGACATCATTAGAGGTTTGTTTCTTTAGAATTATGTATTGACATTCTTAAAAATATAAATGTAATTGATGCATTTTCACAAATTAAGCTTTGGAAACTCAAGCCGCGAACGTTTATAAACGTGAAAAATATCAATCTGAAGGGGAAAAACAATTTTTAGAAGAATTGATTCAGAAATACGGTGATAATTACGATGCAATGTTTAGAGACATAAAGCTCAATATATATCAACACACATCAGCTCAATTAAGGAATAAATGTCAAAAATATCTTAAGAGTAGACAGAACAAAATACTATAAAAAATGATTTATATTTAGTTTTGACTTTTTAATTAATTTTTTATTAATAAAAATAATAATATCAAATCATTAACAATTATTTGATCTAATATATATATATATATATATTGGAATATTCAATTGCATATTAGTAAATATAAACTAAAAGTATTAGCAGGACATATAAGTAATTGCGGAATGATTATTTTTACTCTCACATTAGCATTAAGCTTGTAATCTTCTTCTGGCAAGTTGCCTGCGATTAAGTCTTTGAACCTTCTTAGTTTCATCACTTTCACGTTTTACTTGAGCATTTTCTTCAGTAACAATTATTTCTATATGGCATGGACTACTCATGTAAGGATTGATGCGCTAATAAATTAAATAAATCATTAAATTATTGAATAATTAAAACATAAAATTATATAATAATAAAAAAGTAATAATAATAAGTTATTATTTACACCATGAGCTCTATAGGTTCTTCGTCTTTGTTTAGGAGCTTGATTCACTTGGATGTGAGAGATGATCAAATTTTCCACATCCATACGTTTAAGCTATCCAATTATATTAATGTTAATAATATTGAAACTTTGACTTGATCAAAAATATATATATATATATATTAATACAAAACATACTTCTGCATTACTTCTAGCATTTTTTAACAGTCCTAGCAAAAATTCAGCGCTCTTTACGGGCCATCGACCTATTTTAAATCAATGATGTTATTAAAAAAGATTTAGATATTTATGATAATTTATCATTATAATTAAAAAAAAAATAACCTTGAGTGCATCCAAAAGCTTTGACTTGGGCACATCGACCAACACCACCGTTATACCGTCTAAAGGGAACAGCTTGCTTATGCTCTTTAACATCTTCAAGATATTTAATGGCTTTAGACAGTTTTTTTCCGGAGATCGCCTTGGCCGTTTCACGAGTATTCTTGAAATGTACTCGTAAATAAGAACCACGAGTCTTTGCGGCTAAAATTCATATAATTTTGATGAAATTTTGAACGATTTACACGTTTAATGGCAACTATACTTTCCAAAGGTAAACTTACTCCTTTCAGGATTGGCTGGCTCAATAGAGTATCTAACCATTTTCAATGATTCACTCCACGAAATTGTAAAAAGGATCGTATCTAAACCTTGTAAAAAAATTTTTTATGATTAGTTTAATAAATTATGATTGGTTGATTGATATATATATATATTTGGACCAATTGACGAAACTATTAGATTATCAATATCAAATATTTATTAAATAGATAATTATTACAGTTTTTTTAAAAATTATATAAATTATTGTTTTAATTATTAAAGTTAATTTTAAATTAAATATTATTAATAAATATACTGTAATAATATGTTTGTTTTATAATTTTTATATTTTTTTATTTTTTATTACATAAAAAAAATTTTAAAACTTAAATTTGTATAAGTTTATATTGTAATCCAAAAATTTTGCAAAATAAATTTTATAATGCAACAATATTCTACATAGAATAATCTATTTTAATATCAGTATAAATAAAAGCTTTATTATTATAATTTGATTCTAAAATTAGTAATTAATTTAAATAAATAGTATCAAAAAAATATTATATGGTTATAATTAATAATAAATTATGCTATTCAAATAATAAATTTACTATTAAATTTATTTTAAAAATTGTGATAAATAATTTATAATTTTACTTTAAATTTATTAATTTATATATAGTATATAGATATAAATCTTTAAAAACACGTAATATATATCTATTACATATATTTATTTATATTATGATAAATATATTACATCCCAAGATTTATTTACTCATTATAATTTTTATATTACAAATTTATTTATATCATGATTATCATGAAAAATTAACCTCTAGACTAATTTTTTTAGCTAAAAGATTCAAGAAATAGATAAATATATTTAAATTAAAAAAGTATTTTAATTATAAGAGTTATTTATTATATAAAAAATCTGGATTTTATATTTTACAAATTATGTTAGATTTAATAAAATAAAGATAGTAATATACTATATGCTAATCTTACGTTATATTATATATATTAAGATTTTTCAATTATTCTCCTACCCTTTAAAATATTATGTAATAAATATTACTACCCTAATGTAATACTCATTCTCAATAGATACTATATTCTTAAAATTTAATATAACTTTTCTAAAAATAAGTGATATTGTAAAAAGCAACCAATTCGTTTAATAATATACATAATTACCTATTTATAAAAATAAAAACTTATTATTTATAAAGACTGAAATGAATTATTCTAATAATTCAAAAAATAAACTTGTGATTTCAAAAGTTAATAATAGAGATGTTAGCTAATATAGAAAATATGTTATTCAAAAATAAATAAATTTAATATTTATATATCTCATATTAAAGTATAACTAGCTAAATTAATTTATACACAAAAGAGATTTATATAATGAAGTTTATCTATTTTAATAGAAATATAATCTGAAAATTATAAATATTTTATATATGCTTCTAGACTAAAAGAATTTAGAGCTATTTTAGATTATATAAACTTAATTAAATCTAATTTCAAAAAGATTAATTTTTTTTATAGATATTTATTATACAAAGAGAATTATATAATAAGTACGATAATAAATAGTACTTATATTACAAATTAATTTCAAATGATTTTTTATATCATTATAGTTAATAATAATTATAAAATTAGAATTAGAGTATACATAATTATTAAATACAAAATATTAGAAACTTATTAGTAGATATTTAATAGCATACTTAATAAAATGAATAATTATTTACAAATCATTTTCTAATTCAAATTCTTTTATAATTTATTTAATCAAGGATATTTATCCTAATATTTAGCATTTACTATATAATATTTTATATAGATTTTAAATCTTTAAAAAAACTTAAGAAAAATTAAGCAATCTAATTTAAAGAATTCTATCATAAATTTTATAAATGTTTTAATTCTCTTTATGAAAAACTATTTGAAAATAAATAGAATTAACTAATCAAATAATATTAAATAGAAATAAAATATCTATTTGATACTCTTTATAGTATTAAAGATTTATTAATATATATGTATAACAAATTAAATCATTTTATATTTTTATGTAAACTATTGATTAATATTAATAATAATTATATTAAAATTAATAAATATTTAAAAAAATTTGAAATTAAATGAAATACCTTATTTATAATTGATATGTAAATACTAAATATATTATTCTTTATTCAAGTAAATGCTATTATTAAAGAATTATTAACTTCTATAATATTTAGAAAACCAAGATTTCAAATAAATTAAACTATATGTTATAACATTAAACAAATAGAAGAATTTTTAAGAAAATTAGATTTTGAAAAATTTTGACTAAAATTAAGAGTTTAATACATTTTAATATAAATTAAAAAAACCTTGATTTGTTAAAAATTTTTAAAACTTAATTCTCTTAGTAATTAATCTAAATTATGAAATGATATCATTTATAAAAGTAAGATTCATTTAATAATTTGTTTAAAAATTGAAAAGAATATAAGTTTATAAGTTAAAAAATTAGAATTATATAGTATTATAATATTATATCTTATTAGAGAAAATTTATTTCTCATACGGGTGATTTCTCACCTCATATTCACGTAACTGGCTGATCGATAAATTGTGTTAGAGATTTGGATAAGTCATATTAAATTTTTAATAATAATAAATAAAAAAAATAGCTGCGCATAAAACTCTTTACTTTTTAAACTACAACGATTCTTTTTTAATAATAACAAAGGGTTTTATAACGAAAGGTAGAGTTTTATACTATTTGTCTCTGACTTTTTTGCTATTAAAGTTTAAGAAGAGAAGTTTTTTTTTTTAATCTGCAAAGGGTTTAAATTTGAAGGATTTTTTCTTTAGAGGTTTGAAGTCTTTTGTTGTTTTTCCAATATTTTTTGTTCTTTATATTTTTTTTGAAGAGAGAAGTTTAAAAGTCATTTTTCTTTGAAGTCCTCTTTACTAGTGTTGACAATTTGCTCCTTTCTTTTGAGTTTTTTTCTTCAAAGTTTTTTTTTCTTTGGAGTTTTTTTTTTTCTCTGAAAATTCTTTCCAATTTCTCTAAAGTTTTCTTGATCGGTAGTGTTCCTTAAAGTTCTTTTTCTGAAGTTTTTTTTTCTTTAGAGTTTTTTTCTCCCTCCAAAAATTCTTTCTCCAATTTCTTTGATCGGTAGTGTTCTGAATTTGTTTTGAGCTTTTTTTTCTTAAAAATTTTTAGTACTACTTTAATATCCATTGTAAGTAATAAATGACCACTCTATCTGCTCTAATATTATAAATATACTTACCTCTGAAGCCTTCATGAAAGGTCTTTATTTGCTTGTCAAACATTTGTGTTTTTTTACTTTTTGTGCCTATGTTAATCATGTTCTGTGATGTCGCACCCTTTATAGAACCTACCAATAATAATAATAAAGAAAAATATATTTTAGAGATGTATTAGACTTTAAATTTGAAGATTATAATGATGTTTTTCTACTAATCAATACTCTGATTGAAATTGAGTTGGAAACTAAGTTTCACTTTATAGAAATTGCAGTATATTTTATAAAACAATATGCTCTTCAAAATAACTTTGCTGTCTTTAAGCATAAAACTGAAAAATTTTCAGATGTTACTTGTAAAAAAAGGGTATTTAAGTGTGATTTAGGAGGAAGGTATGTTAAAAAATATTTAAGACCGATATTAGGTAAAGAAAAGAGCAAAGAAAGCAGAAAGCAAGGCTGTATGTGGCAAGTAAACATTAATAGACAATCAAATTCACTAATAGCAACTGTAACGTCATTTAATAATTAACACAACTATGAGATTTTTATTGAAACTGTGAAATTTTTTATCACTTACAAAAATTTTTCTGAAAAAATCATGGAACAGATAGAATTTTATGTTGTGCATGACCAATGTGATGCAAGAACAATTAGGAACCTCCTTTAACTAAAGTATCCTGATCGTGTATTTCTTACTCAAGACATAGAGAATGCAATTTAAAGAATTAAATAAGAAAAGGGATTGAATTTAGGGGAAACAGCATCTCTATTAATGAAGCTTCTTGAATTGCAAGCTAATGATCTTGTATTGTTTATAAAACTATTAATAGATGATACAAATAATTAGTTAGTTAGTATTTTTTAGATGTTACCAGAATAGCGTAAAAGGTAGAAAATTTTAGGATATCATTATTTACGACAATACTGCAAGAATGAATAAATATAACTATCCATTAAGTCTTTTCATATTAATTGATAACTATAATAAGAGTAGGTTGGCAGCTCAAGCATTCATGCAGGATGAAAGATAAGAATTATATAAATAGTTGCTTCAATGTGTCTTAAAGCATGTGAAATTTCTCTATTAACATTTGTTACTGATGCTGACTCCGCAATAATTGCAGCCATTCCTATAGTATTTCCAGAAACTTATCATATGTAATATTTATACTATCTCTATTAAAATCTTCCAAAAAATCTTCATTTATATTTAGGATCATCACTTTATCAGGAATTCCTTAAAGATTTTAAAGGAATTCAACGTTCTTATTATGAAAATATATTTGAAAAATAAACTAAAGGGATAGTTGAAAAATATGAGACAGGAAGCAAATATATAACTACAATGCTATTGAATCGAAAGCATACTTAGGTAAAATGCTTTATATCATAATATTTTACAGCAGGAACACAATCTACACAGTGTGTGAAATCAGAAAATGCATTAATAAAAAAGGCCATACAGTCAAGTTTCTCTCTCTTACAAGTTCAAGAATTTCTTGAAAATCAGTTAGAATTTGAATCAATTAACAATTGTTATTCAATCTGAAAAGCTTCAATATTACAATATATATAACCTTTTGTCATACAAATATTCTTTAGTAGTATTGATAGTATTATAAATAAATATTTCATACAGCTAATTCACAATGCATATTATAAACAAATATGTAAATCTATATGCTATCGTGCATATCAAGTACAATTTTCTGAAATTCCAGTATCAGATGATGGTTCATTTGAACTTTTTTTTGATAAAGTAGAAGATTCTGCTAAATCTCTTATTAAAGGTGATGAGGATTAGGAACTTGACTTGAAGTCTTTGATTTTGATAGTTAATTTTAACGATATTTTAGAAGTTTGGAAGATTTCTCAATACAATTACCCAAAATGCTATTAATATGTAATTCTACTTAATACCAGAGAATATTTATGCACTTGTTTTATGCTTGTCACTCATGGTATTATATATAGACATTTCTTTAAAGTGTTTGTTGAATCTTCTAATACATGTTTTCATTTGACATTAATTTCTAAGTATTGGTATAAGGATGAATATATCAATTCAAGAGATACTTGTTCTAATGAGACAATTATAAATAATGACCAAAATGATCAAATAGTGCGTAAATTATTTTAGAATTTACTCAAAAATACATCATAAATGATCTTTTAGAAAGGTATTCCAAGCAAATATCACGAAATTAATTAAAATTTGATACTTTAATAGATGAAGTCAAAAAGGCAATTCAATTTGTAATTTAAGATGATGATGAAGAACTGATTTAATTTATCAAGAATTTTAATAAAAGAAAAGAAGCTCTACTAATTCAAACAAAATCAATTAAGTAACAAAAAGCTTTAGCGGATAGAAAAATAAATAACAATCAGATCTTTTGTAATACAAAAAGAATATTAATCGATTCTAACCAGATCTTGAATCTATTAAAGTATCAGCCTAAAGGAAGATCACCAATAAAACAGTTGAAGCCATCTGTTGAAAAATCAGATTCAAAAGGCAAAGGTGAAGACTAATAAGCAATATCTGATAGATGTCATAAGTGTGGCTCATGTAACGAATATGATTATTATCATAGCACTTATTCTAAGGATTAGATTACGATACTTAATCATGTGTTTATAGTATGAGATCAAAGTGTTGTTTTATTAGTTTCTGTGTTTACCATAAAAAGCGATCATTGAGGAATTGGAATGATAAGGTGGTTTAAAAGGTGTGAGTAGAGGTTTTTCACTTAGTAATAGCATGAGATTGTATTAATCTTATAGTAATAGCATGTTTGTGATATTTTGGCTTTAATTATTACATTTATTTAGTGCAGAATTTAAACAATAAATATTGATAAATGCTATTTTTTTATAATAATTGTTGTTAATAAAAAATGCATACAAAAAAAATTATAAGAGGTAAAAAATAATTTATCTCATCTGAAGTGAGGAATAAATTTACTTTTTAAACTTAATTATATTATATTAAAAAAATTAATAATTAAAATATTTGTATTAAAAAGAATGTAAAAGTAAGTAATAAAAAGAAAGACAAAAAATTTTAAATAGCTAATAAGGTAGTATGTATTCTCTTTCTTTGTAACTTTAGTTATTCACTTTTTAGGTCTTATAATTAATTTATAATCTGTATTATATTATTATTATTTATTATATAATCTATCATATTCTGTATTATAATTATATTATTTATCTTATAGGTTAGTTGCTAAAAAAATCAGTTTTATGAATTTTTTAATAAAATTAAGATTTTTATTGCACTTTAGTTTTAATATTATTGGATTAAAATGCATTAAACTCTTAATTTTAATCAAAAAATTTTCAAAACCTGATTTTCTTAGAAATCCTTCTATATGATTTGTTTTATGTTGTATTTTCTATTTATTTTTATGTTATTTTGTATTATTTGTTATGTAATTTATTGTCAAATATTTTGTTTTGTAACTTGATTTTATTTAATATGTAATTTTTAACTATTTATTTTCTAATCTCTTAATATTATAATTCTTTTAATCTATTTTCATTATTGAAATATTACTCATATAATATATTGTTTTAAGATTTTTTGATTTTACAGTATTTAAAGAAATGTGTAAAAAATCTATTATAGATAAAGTATTCTTTCTTATATAAAATTTTAACAATTGATTTGATAACTCTGATAAATTAATTTTTATATTTATTATTTTTTTAATTATAATTTTTATTTCTTTTTTATTTGTAATTTTAATTTATTTAAAACTCTTTTTAATAGATTTCTATAAAATATATATAATAAATATTATATTAAAATATCTTTTACCTAAGTTATTTTTATTAAATTTTTACTTTTAGCTTTTTTCATTTTTTTCTATTAACTAAATTAACTAAATAGAATTTTATTGATTTAGTGATTTGACATTTTGTATATTTTTTGCTTTTAGATATATTTTAGCCAGATATAAAAAGTGTAAGATTTAAAAGGATTTAATAGATAGTATTATACTATAGTATATTGCTTTAATTTCGGTTATTATTATAATCCAAGATTTATTGCAAATATTGGTAATATAACCACTTGAAAAGTATTATAAAATGTATAAAAAATTTTTAATATATTATAAACTATTTTTTATATAAAACAATCATACATGTAATATATAATTCTAATGCTTATCAACTAGCAAAACAAATATTACTTTTCTTACCTTTCACCATTTGCTATACTATTTTGATTTTAGCATAAAATTTTATAATACTATATTATATATTATATTATATACGTTAAAAATAATTAAATCAACATGATAATGTGATTTATTGATTTAATTTTATCAATTGTCCGATTTGATTTGATTTTAAAGGCTTCATATATTACAATAATATTTATTATAAAAATTATATAAAATTTTAGAAAAAGTTATTTACTAAACCTAAAGGATTTAAGATTTAAATCCAAACAAGCCCAAACATTGCAACAGCTATACATGCCACAATTGAAGTAAGGTTAAACATATTTGTAGCGGAATTTTCATTTGCGTTGGCAGTAGTAGAATTGGTGATAAGTTTCGATTTAATGCCGGTGTGTTTTATTGTTGTGTAATAAACAACTTTGACTTGAGCTGGATCAGGATTCCCAGGTAGGCTATTAAATTCATGATTTAACGCTGATGTAGTATGAAGTGATTGAACGTTTGAGGGTTGAGCGACTGTGTTTTTAGTCATAGTGATGAATCTTACTGAAGAAGCAGGTGGTAATTCAGTTTTAACAACCACAATAAAGATGAAGAATAACAAAATAAATATTTTGCTAATCATGATTGAATTTAATTATTGGAAAATTTTTGAATAAAATTTGGACGTAAAAAAAAAAAATAATTAACTCTTTTTATATAAAACTTTTCGATCAAGCTTATAAAATCCTTTTGCTGATAAATTAGAAAATTTATTTATCATCAGAACATTAAATCATTTTCTAATGGATGCATAAAACTTCTTGCGACATTTCTACGTATAAAATTCATATATAAATATTTGATATTTGAAATAGTGCACACGAAATGTTTTTTTTACATATTTTTGTTTTATATATATTTTTAATGATCATTCCAATAATATCACAAAATGTTTCTCGGAAAACTTCATCTACATGTTACGTAAAGATCAATAATCCTCGTCCCGGAGATCGTTTTAGTCCAGGTGATGAAATTAACGTGAAATGGGATTTAATTGGCCTTGAATGTCGAAATTCAACGGATGATTTGGTGTCATTATATCAGATAAACGCGATTTTATTCGCTAATTTAACCAGAAAAGATGAATGGAAGTGGGACTATCATTTGGTAAAAAATTGCGACTGTTTATCCTTTTCAACACTTTTCATTACATTTAAATGTTTTATTTTATTTATTTATTTTTTAAAGAATTTATATCAAGAAACAAATACCAACATTACCTCATTTACATATCCTATACAAATGATACTTTCACCAAATATTCGTCATTCAAGTTTATTTTTCTTGGATATTGAATTAACTTTTACAAAAAATCCTCCGGGGTTAATCTTTGACGTTATGGGACCATTCACAATATTACCTATCCCAGAAACACAACTGTCAAATGAAACCGATAATGGTCAAAATGCACAAGAAGTTTTTTCAAACTTTAAAGGAAATTTGTCTATGGCTTCAAAATCAATCAGAATAGGTTGGATTTTTAACGTTATTTTTGTCATATTTACACTGATGAACGTGTAGAAAAAAACGGTAAATTGTAACGTGTTAATAGCACTTTTTAGGATAAATCAATCTTAATACCGCAGAACGATAGATATTTTTTTATTTTATTAATTAGACTTTGAAAAATTTTGACCCTTAAAAAAAAAGGACATTATCAAGAGGATTTGGGTAAACTTTTTATAAACCAAACATAGTAAAGAATTTGTTTGTTGAAAAACTTTTTTTATTTTTCACCATTGGTTAAAGGATGATGTCATCTATGTATCATCATATTTTACATTGCCTGAAAGATCATTGGTCATTAAACTTCTTTGATCATGTGATTTTCTTTTCAAATAAAGTCTCGTGCAAAACTTCACCAAACTTGTCATTTTGTGTTGTGTGCTACTTCTCGATTTTTTTGTTTTGTTTATTATTTTTTTCCCTAAACTCGAAAATTTATTTGTCAAAGTAATAGGGAAAATTTATACACGGATCGACGTCACAACATACAATATTTCAAATACTTTAGGATCGATCAATAATGTCATACTCTCCCGGTTCAATCGTTTACGCAAAGCTTAAAGGATACCCTTGGTGGCCAGCACGAGTGAGTACTTACTTATATTATAATAAAGTTTATATATGTTCGCGGCGCGAATATGTAACTTGAATTCATTTTTTTTTTTTTTTTTTTTTTGATTTATTTGTTTTGCAGGTTGAAGTTGAATCTTCATTACCCTCCCAAGTTCGTTCTAAAAAACCCAAAACACCTAAACCAACAATTGGTGTTCGATTTTTTGGGACTAAGGATTAGTATGTTTTTTTTTCTTCGTCAATTCAACCCAACTTTTCCAATAGGGTTCCAAGTTAAAATATTTTTTGTAATTAATATTTATATTATATCTTTATTAACAATAGTGGTTGGTTTGGAAGTAATGATCTTAAACCATTCGACAAGAAGGATGCCGAAATAACATTGCAAAAAATGAAAAAGCGTGACAAATTGTTAGAAAGATCTATACGTGAAGCTTTAGATCCTTCATCCTTTGAAGATCCTATGAATGAAGAAGGTGCCGATGATGATGTGGTATCGGATGATGATGGTGATTTAGAAAATGAAAGTAAGAAATCAAGTGAATCTTATGATAATGAAGAAGACGAGGGAGAATATTCAAAAAGATCAAAAATTCGTAATAAAGGAAATAAAAAAAATAAAAAGACCACAACTTCTAAAGGTTCAGATCATCGTAGAACAAAGTCATTGAGCGGTGGAAAGTCGAAGAAAAAATCACATACTTATTCATCAGAGGAAGATGATGATGTAAATAATGATGGAAAAGGGGGGAAGAAACGTAGGGCCAGTGAAGGTGCTACTATAAAGCGTAAACAGAGAAAGATAGACTATACTGATGATGAAAAAATGGATTTGGATGAGGATAAAAGCGAGGATGAGACAAAAAAAAAGGTTTGCTTTATTTAATCTGTCGAATATTAATTTTATGGAGGATTTTAAGTTCATATATTTCTTGTGACGTTGTTATATAAAATTCAGGAACGACGTCAAAATGTCAAAAAGGATCGAGCATCTAGAAGTGAAGGTTCGAAATCATCTGATAATGAATCACCTGAGGATGATAGGATTAAAAGAGATATTAATGAAGACGATGAAAGCAAATCAAGTAGATTAGAATCTGAAATTCATCATCGTCCGTCTAAATCACGACATTCGAGTACGTTTTATCTTTCCCAATTTTCTTTCCAATCTACATTTATTATAATATATATTATTTACTAATTTGATATATATTTAACACAGGAACACCCGGTGAATGGTTGCTTCATTTGAGGCATAAACTTCAGAGAATGACTCTGAAAGATGATGTCGAGGTAAATTTATAATGATTCTGTTTGTTTCATCTTTAAACTTTTATTGGTATATACTATTTAACATTTCTATTTATTATTAATTAGTCATTAGATATGGATAAGATCGATGAAGTATTTACCGAAGTTGAAAATTTCAAAATCACTATTCCTTTATTGAAGGTAAAAAACTTAAAGGGTTTCTACTGATTTATCTTAATATATATATATATTTATTTAATATTTCTAAAATATACTAATTAGGAAAGTAAAATTGGTAAACTTATGAGAAAAATTGCCGAAAAGGATTTCGATCCAGACCCAAAAAAAATTATAGAACGAAGCAATGAATTAATTAGGAAATGGAAATGTTTGTTAGAAACACCTACTCAGGAAGGATCTGATGAAGAAACGTCACCCAAAACAGTTAATCAAGTTGAATCGCCAAACCTTGATGAAGTCGTTTATAACGAAAAAAGTGATATTCTTTTGTCTTATGAACAAGAGATTGATAATAAGAAAATTGAAGAAAATGTCGATAATAATATTGTCGATAATAATATTGTGAAAGTGGAAAATGAAAAGTTCCCATCAGCAATGGATGTTGACGATACTAATGAAGCCCAATCGAAGACTGGCGAAGAAAAACTGGTAGTTGAAAACAAAGATAATATTGTCACAAATGGGTCATCACCTGCAGCTAACAATCAAGAAGTAAATAGTCATGAAAAAGAGGATATTAAAAATACAACTCTTGAATTGTGAGTTACGAATATTTGAAGGGCTAGCATAGGGTATATTCTCCAATATATCGCTCATTTTCTTAAGGTTAAAAAAACCGTCACACTAATCTATCTTCCTGTTATTTTCGTTGTCAAACCAAATTTTTAGCTTACATATATATATATATCTTTGTTGCCTTGAAAGTTGTAAATATTTATATAGATTAAGCAGAGAATAATTACAAAATAATACTTTGTTACGACAAAGAAAAAAAAAAATTTTTTTTTACGAATTTAATCTGTCTGATTTTGTTCTCCACAAGCTTAGTTTTATTGTATTATTTCAATTAGTATTTTATACCTTTTGAAAGTTTACTCTATTCGATGAAATAAATATATTCTTATCGAAAATATTCGTATTTTTTTTTTTTTTTTTTTTTTGTTAGTGATTTTATAACTAAAGTTTCTTAGAAAGTTACGAAGTCGGATCGGCCAAATGAGCAACCTAACCCTCCTCCGACGATATGTTACACAAGATGTGATTATAAATATTACATGAAACGAAAAAAATATGTAATGATGTGGTAGGGAGCTTGGCCAATCTTCAAAATGTCTAATCTTACACCTAATGTCGCGTCAAATCAGACAATGTCTGAACCTAAGTCACCACTCGTAAAGTCTGTTAAAGACTATTTTGTAAATAAAGACCATAGGTTTTACATTGCTGTTTCGGCAACTGTGATTTTGGCAGGAGTTGGCCTTTATTACTTTTGGTCTCCCAAACCCCCAAGACCAAAATCACAGAAACGTTCAAGAAAAACGAGATCAGCGAGACCTGCTGGAAATGCAGACACTGGTATAAGTCTAATAAATCCTAAGCCCTATTATTTCATGTAACTTATTAACCTACTTCGCAAAACTCATTTACAGGAAAAGAGAGAGGAGGTAGAAACAAAGAAGAACTTGAGGCTGAAGAGTTCGAAAGCTATACTCAAGAACAAATTAACGCTTTACCTATGGAGGTGATTAAAACATAATTGATAATATAGATTTATTTATTATGACTATTATTCTATATAAATATTTTCCATAAATCTATTTAGAAACGCGTCACGGCCTCACAAACGCTTAAAAGCCGCGGAAACGAGGAATTTCGTCAAAACAATTACCCAAGAGCCGTGAACCTTTATACGCAAGCGATAGCTTTTAATCAAGATCCGGTATTTTATAGCAATCGAGCTGCGTGTTATTACAACACGAATGATTACGCGAGAGCTATCGAAGATTGCAATAATGCATTGCGAATGGATCCCCTTTACGTCAAAGCGTTAAATAGACGCGCTATGGCATACGAACAAACCTCTCGTTATGAAGAATCTTTGCATGGTAAAATGTTTTGTTACAACTGTATTATAAAATTATAATTAATTTCATGTCCCAAATTTTTAAATAGATTATACTGCAGCTTGTATTATCGGCGAGTTTAGAAATGAAAATTCTACAAAATCCATTGATCGCCTTTTAAAAAAAGTTGCTAGTATTAAAGCTCAAGCAATTATTCAGGTAAATCAAATATCATAATTATCATAATGTTTTTCTGTTTGTTAATATATTATTAAATTCAATTCGCGAATCGATACTAGAATCGAGCAAAACGACTTCCTTCAACAAATTTCATATCTTCATATTTGGAGGCATTTCGCAAAGGTTTTTATGATTATATATCATTTTCTCTTTACTTCTATATATAAGGGATCTTTTTTTTTTTAAAAAAAAAAAAAATTTCAACTTTAATATTACACACAGTAACCATCGAGCCTTATACACTTGACACAGTTAGTAATGAAAAGGAAGGAGATCATTTCTATAGTTTAGCAGAAACTTTTTTGAATGAAAAACAATATGAAGATGCAATGACGGCGTATGGGCGAGCCATAGACGCTGGTTGTTCTAATATGGCTGAAGCCCTCAATATGAGAGGTACCTTCACTTATTTAATGGGTGATTCTAATGGCGCTTTGGAGGATTTCAAAAAGGCACTTGAGATTAGGTCCGACTACGTTCAGGCATATGTAAAACGTGCGACAATTTACATTGAACAAGGTTGATAAAAAATTTACTAATTAATTTTCTTATTTTTTTTTTTTTTTTAATGAAAGTGTCTCGAAACAAGTATATAACAATACAATTTTGTAGGACAAACTGATCTCGCATGGCAAGAATTTGAGGAAGCTATTAAAATTAATCCTAATGATCCAGACATATATTATCACAGGTTTCGTTCTGGTTTCCAAATCTATTTATCTATTATATATATATATAGTTAATCTTTATCTCATTTATTCTTTTATATCATAATGTTAGAGGACAAGGTATGTTTTATTTAGTACATCTTTGAATTATTTATAATTATTAATAATTATAAAAATCTGTGTAATTGATTATATATTTGAATATTCAGTCTATTTTCTAAATGGTATGTTTGACAAGGCAATTAATGAATATCAGCGTAGAATTGAACTCGATCCAGATTTCGTTTATGCGTATATTCAACTTGCCATATCCCAATATAAAAATCATGCTGAAGCGGAAGGATTAAAAACTTGTCGGCTGGGACTTCAAAAATTTGCTTTTTCGGCTGAGATGCATAATTACTACGGTGAACTTCTTGCTGATAAAAGTAATGTTGATGAAGCCATGGATCATTTTGACAAAGCTATTGAATTACAGAATGAAAATTTTGCATTACCTTTTGTCAATAAAGCAATGCTTTGTTTCCACTATAAAAATGACCCAGCTCAAGCAGAAGAAATCTGTCGTCAAGCTTTGGAAAGTAAGTATAATGGAATTTACTTATTTGATATTATATCAACGAGCTTTATTGAAGTTTTATTGATCTAACAAAAATTAAAGTTGAACCAGAAAGCGATATTGCGAACACGATAATGAGTGAAATTTTACTTGCTAGAGGAAACCTGGAGGCGGCACTACAATTGCTTGAAAAATATCAGGAGGTTGCACGTTCAGAAGCCGAACTTCAAAGTACCCTAGAGTATGCAGAAGCTGCACGATCTCATATTGCTTTTAAACGAAGATATCCACAACATGCTGATCGTTTAGCTTCACTTACTGGTAAAAAATAAATTGTTATGCGATTTAGCGCTTGCATTATTCTTCTTTATTTCCTAAATCGTATAGTGTAATTGACAACATTAAGCACTATTAGATTGGGTTATAATGTTGCATAAGCAACTTTAAAAAAAAAAAAAATTAGCTATATATTATTATATTAATTTGAAATTGAATAAAAAAATGTGTTGAATATTTTTAAATAATTATTATTATTAAGATATATAATTTAAAGAATTATTAAAGTAATGTAACTAATAATAGAATTGCTAATAATAATTAAATAATTAAACCCTTAAATATGTATATGGGTTTACCTTTTTAACTTTTTATATTATCTTCAGTTTGGATTTGAATTTTTATTTAAATCAGTTATTTATTATTTATTAAATAATATGATTTTATTATCTACTTAAATCATATTAATGATTATATAATTTTTACATTTAATAAATAAGATATTTATTTTAAATACAAAAGTATTAATATAGGTTAAAACATAAGACAAGGTGGATTTTATTGTTTTGATATTCTGATTCATTATAACTTAAGGATCTTTGCAAAGGAGTTTTACAAATAAATAAATTATTTGATATTTAAAGTTATATATTAATATAATAAATATTTAGATCTTATTCTAATATAAATCATTAATTAATATTATTAATTAAATATTAAAATTTATAAAATCTTCTTTAAGATTTAAAGATTAAAATAAAAATAATTTATTATAACTTTTACATTTATAAAAATTAAGTTATAAGCTTTTTAAAATTAAATAATTCTTTTATTATTGTTTATATAATTAAATATTTATATAATTATTATTTTTATTATTATATTTTTTAGTAAAATAGATTTATAAAAAATACAAATTATAATCTAACTAATTAAAAAAATTTGTAATATTTAAAGTATCTGTATAAAAAAATTATTAAATTGTATATAATTACATAAATTTCTAAAAAAGAAAAATGTTTTTAAGAAAAATGGTTATTAATATACAAATAGATTACATAAATTTAATATTATATGATTTACTTCTATTGCAAAGTAATAGATAATAGCTAATTATTAATTATATATATTTTAATTTAATTTTTAATTAGTTAAAAATATATAATTAATTATTAAAATAACTATTCTAATTTATACTAATTTTTTAATAAATTATTAATTTATTATTATACTTTTTATATTTAAAATATAAAGGTATAATTTATTATTAAAATTACATAGATTATTTTAAATTATAATATATATTAAATTAATAAAAAATAAATCTTAAATCTAATATTATAATAAATATATTTATTTAATAAAAATATTTATTAAATTAAAAATTTTATAAATTAGTAATTACTTTATAATAATTTTGATTTAATGAATTTTTTAATATAATAATACTTTATTATAATTTAAATATATTTATTATAATATATTTAAAAATCTTAATTATATTAAATTTTACTATTTAAATGCTATATATTATATAATAAAATAAAATAAATTTTTCATAATTTTTTTTAATATAATAATATTTTATAAAATTAATATATATATTATAAAAGACAATTTTTACATCAAATATAGTAATTTCATATATCTTTAAAAATAGTTATATACAGATATTATTTGTATTTATTTTTGTTTTTGTTTTTGTCTTTATTTACTTTACTTCATTATATAATTTTATTTTACATTATTTTATCTTTATTTTATTTTATTATATTAATTATTTTATTTTATTTTATTTTTTTTTTAACTTAGGTTCTAGTAATCAGTCACCTAAATATTCTGACTCTGCAGCTCATATGTCCGATATATCATTGTATCCAGAAACAAGCCCTTTCTGACTACATTTAAAGCTGGTCTGAACTGCCGAAATACTAGCCTTCGCAACTAGCTATGTATTCTGGACGCTGCATGGCTAACCCTTGATACAGTTAACATGAAGGATTCTGGCCAATTACTAGAAAGAGGAGTCTTTATCAACCTAATTTGAAATAGCTGTCTGACACAGTTAATACGCCCAGACTATCAAAATTATTCTGAGAATTGAACTTAGGCCTCTCAAACCCTAATTAACTCATAGAAATCACAGTACTTTAACTAGAAACCACCTATAACCTACGACTCTTATTTAATCCAAGTTATACAGCGTCTACCATTGACCCGTTATATCCCGTTATCAGTAATAACCCCTTACAGACGATGCGGCACTTGCCTATTACAGGCCAACCCTCTAATACAAGTTCTGAACTCAATCAGTTCTGTGTAATGTGATCACTTGCGTAATCACATAGGTTCACTATATTCTACAAGTTCGTGATTTTTAACGCACATGGTTTATGTGCATCCTATGAAATTCATTCCCAGAATCGAACTGGTAAAACCTGCAGTAAATTAATACTGCAATCTGTACTTGGCAGGTACTGAACTAGGATCTATTGCAGTATAACTTACAATAGGAACTCATGCCTTGCAGCATTAATAATTTTATTTCATATTTTTTATTTTTATTTTACTTTAATCTTATATAATTTTTTTAAAATGCTAAAAGAAAATGTAAATCTTTTATTAAAGCATAAAAAAAAAATTTATTTAATAAATATCTATTTCTTTTTTAAAATAAAAAAAATTAATTTATATATATAATAATTTAAAAGCAAAAGATTATTAATTTACTAAAAATATAATTAAAATTAAACTATAGATACTTGTTAAAATCTTTTTAAAATAATTTTGTTATACTCTTTCTATATTTTAATATAATTACAATAGTTTTAACTTTCTCATATTAAAAGAATTTTATTATATTTCTTATAATTTTAATATAGTTTCATTTAACTTTCAACTATTTTAAGAGATTTGTTTTTTTTATATATATTAAACTAATTTACAATGTAAAAAATTTTTTTTATTATTATTAGCCCTTTAAATAAAAAATGTATTTAAAGTTAAATTTATTATTAGTGATAAAATTCTTTATAATAAAGCTTTAAAATTTACTTTTTAAATAATAAAAATAAATTTAAAGATTAATTAGATAAGTTAATAACTTTAAAAAATAAACATAATCTTAAATAATATAATATGCATAAAGAAACTAAAAGTGTGTTATTTCAAGATTTTAATATAATATATGAAAATCTTTATTAAAAATTAAAAATTATAATTTAGAAAATATTTTTAATTGTGATAAAATAGACAGGTTTTTAGAAAATATAACTAGTTATATAATATGTAATTATTTAATTAATAAAATAAAATAGTTAGTAATATTTTTATTTATTTGCAATATAACTGATAAAAATGCATCTATTATTTATATATAAATATAAAAATTTTTCAAGTTTTAGGATTATTAATAAAAGTTTACTTTTAATAATTGTTACTAAAACTTAAAAATTGAATACAAATATTAATTTCAAATAAATATCATAAAAAATTTAATAAAAGTATAAAGTTAAAATATTTTTCTTTTTTAAAAAAAACCTTAAAATTTTAATATATTATATCTTATAACATACAATTTAAGATATAATAATTATTTAATAACCTATTATACATAATATTTTTTTATTACTAATTCTACATATTTTAAAATAGATTTTAAAAATAAATATAGATAAAAAAAAATATATTTTTTAATAATTTTTTATGTTTTTTTATATTATACTGTATCTAGTGATCATATGAAGATAAAATATAATTTATTAGAATTGTTTCATTAAGATAAATTAAATAGTAATAAATTTATATCTTTAAGTATAAAGCTTATATAATTATAAAATAAATGCTAAATAAATTAACAGTGTTTATTGACATTTACTACACATAATATTTTATGATATTTTTTTTACATCTAATGATCACAGAAAAAGGAATTATAATTCATTAAATTCATTTTATTGAGATAAATCTAATAATACTAAATTTATGTTCTTAAATGTAAAACTTATGAAATTATAAAGTTATAAAAAATTATCAGTTTTTTCCACCATTACTGTAAATTAAAATTTTTAATAAATATAATAAATATATTATTAAGCCTTAAAAATTAATATTATAAAATATATAAAATATGTAATATTTGTATAAAATAATATTAAACAGATTACAATTTAAAATATCAGTTGAAAATGAATATTTTACTAAAATTAATATTGATGAAATTTGATATATATTTTAATATTAAAAAATAAGTTTATCTTAATTATATAAAAGAATTAAATGAAATTTAAAAATTAATTAATAAATTTGATATTAAAAACGCTTTTAATATTAATGAATTTATTTATCTTTTAAATTATCTAATAAGCAAATTTACCTATAGATTTAAAAAAATATATTAAATATTAATTTTAATATAATAACTATATGAAAATATAGTTTTATATATACTATTATCTTATAATATTAATAACTGAAAATTAATATTACATAAAATTAATAAGGGATTTAACTTTAATTAATATTTTAAAGAGAATTCTGAAGGGTTTACAATTGATTATATGGGAGGGTTTCTAGGAAAATCAGGTTCTGAGAAATTTTTCACTTAAATTAAGAGCTTAATACATTTTAATCTAATAACATCAAAAACCAAAATGTAATAAAAATCTTAATTTTGTTAAAAAATTTCTGAAATCTGATTTTCCTAGCAATCAACCCATATATTAAATAACAGTATATATTTAGAATGAACTTTTAGAATTTTATTAAAAGTAAAGAATTCGATACAATTATATTATTAGTAATAACTATAATTAGTATTTATCTTATTAGTAATAAAGACTAATTAAATTCTAATTATCTATAGAATTATCTTGTCAAAATTATCTATCTTAACTAAGTCTTAAAACTATTCTATTTATATTAAATCCACTAATATAAATAAATAAAATACTAATTAATTATAAATAATAAATAATTAATAATATAAAATGATTAGTAATATAAAAAAATTTCTAATAACTTTTGGGTTTTTTGTATAACTTTTATTTAATTTATT